TCGAGTCCCACGGGTAATGGAAAGTGGAAAAGAGAAACGTTTGAAAACCTTAGCAGCACTATTCAATTTGAGTTTTCGACCTAGTGTGGCCATGGCCGAATATTGTGTGATATATTGAATAGGACGCAGCTTGGTACGATTGTGTACAAAACTATAATAATTTTATTAATAAATTAATAATTACAAAGTTACAAACACCTTGTAGAATCTGATTCCTGCAAGCGTTGGCGCAGATCACAACTTGTGATCCGAGCATTAGCATAGGTCATGTCATCGTCATGGTGCCACGTTGAGGCGATACTCCCCCTGGCACCTCGCAATCCATCTGACCCCTCCCAATGGACGAGTACTACGGGCACCTCCTGAGGCCTGGCTTCCACCCTCTACTACACCCTGGACCTTTTTATGAATGTAGACAACCCCTATGCTCACCTTCAAACCATAAGTCACAAAATGATCCCAGAATATCAATGGGGTTCCTGGATGGGTCAGAATGTAAACATATCTGCAACACAGGGGGAAAACACACACACACACACACACACACACACACACACACATACACAGCAAATTGATTCCCCAATGCGTCAGAATGTACACATATCTGGAAAAAAAAACGTACTTGTATCAAGTTACTTACTGAAGTTAAATCTGCATTGATAATAATTTGATATTGATTAGAAAGAAAGACAGCAAATTTGACTTCTGTACCCAAGAGCATATGCGAGGCCATTGCCTCTATGAGCCCCATAAGGCAACATTTTTGCAGCCCGTCGGCCGCTCTAAGTGAAGGCAGGCTCGACGAGGCCCTCAGGGCCTTTTCTGGCCACCACGCAACTCAGGGAAATTCAGGCTGTTGCGCAGCGCCAGTTGGTTGAGTGAACCCAGGCCCTGGGCTGGATACAGGTACCGGGCCAAACACAGGCCGAAGGCAGTTGGGAACATGCAACCACTTCAGGCCCAAGGCCTGTTCTCGTCGTACTGGGCCTCAGGCTACCGGGGCCTACTGGAAGCTTCCTGGGACTGGACGCAGGCAGGCCACTTCGATATAGGRAAGGGCCTTCCTCCTCATTCGGCATTCGGGTGCTGGCTGCCTGCTGCACTATTTGCTGGCTGGCGCCTACGCTCTCATGGGCGAGCAGGGAAAGAGCACGCAGCCATAGCCGAGCTGCGCTGCTGTAAGCTGGGTGAGGCGCAGGGTGGTCCTTGGGTGCTAGTGGCATCTGTGAGTTGGGGAACGAGGTTGTGAGTGTAGCGCGAGACATACCTGGTGCTGGAAGCGTGCAACATTGGTCGCCATATGCTCGTACTTCGGGAATGCTGTTGACGTCATCTTTCGGCTTCGTTGTATAGGCTAGATAGGATCTGCCACATGTAGTCTGGGCGCCGAGCGCCAGAGAGGATATCAACTCTGGTTCTTCGTTGATGATGAAGGGACTATTTCAGCATTGTCAATTATGAACTCTTGGTGTGTTCTTATTTGGTGAATCTCGTGATGCAATTCTGCTGTTGGTTCGAGGTCAAGACTATCTGGACTCATATGTATGATGCTGTTTGATTGCTGAAGTTCACTATTGCTCATCTTCCTTGCACATAGCTCAGTGGGTACACCAATGAAGTGTCGAAAATTGAAATAAAGACCTGAGTTCGAATCCAGATCATGATGGAACAAGATGTCATTGAGAAAAACGGTACGGAAAAAAAAAATAAAAAATTCTGAATTGCCAGGGGCCGGTGAGCTCAATGATGATATCTCAAGGAGGTCTCCTTTTAAATTTTCCTGTTTTTTGTTTTTTCTGTTTTGTTTTTTGTTTAAAAGAAGAAGAAGAAGAAGATTTCCGCATGCGTCAGAATTTACACATATCCACACCAAGCAGAAACTGAGAGAGCATGGGGCCTCGCTCCGCTGCACATAACTCTGCATGTACTTGGACATGCTGTTGGCGCCAACGCGTTCAAAATTCCGTAACAGTTGTGATGTTGTGTAGTGGAGCGCGGCCCCATGTCTGCAAAGTCGGTTCCCCTCAAAGAAAATGGGCCTCGCTTCACTACACAACACTCTACATGCATTTGGACGCTTTGGGGACCAGGTACATTCAAAATGTTGCACTCGTCCGAATGCACCTGGACCTGAAAGCGTCCAAATTCATGTACAGTGATGTGTAGTGAAGCGAGGCCCAATGTTCAGACAAGCAAAACTATCATCGAGACAACTAACTGTCATCACAACATTTCTGTTTTTTTTTTTTTTTTTTTTTTTTTAAAAAAAAAAAAGTCCTCCCACTGCGCTTGGAAGAGAACCAGGCGGTGACAAGCTTGCATTGAATTTGGTGCTCTCCCGAAGAAGAAAAACAAAGAGGAAAAACACAAAAAACAAAGAAGTTGGTGCTCAGTATGTCAAACATAGAAATGGCGGCACACACACACACACACACACACACACACACACACACACACACACACACACAGAAGTGGCGGCAGACAGGGACAAGCAAGTGGGTTGGGGGAAACGGGTTTTGCGAAAGGAGCAGTACAAAGTAACAGTTACGTGGCTGCACATCACTCTGCATGTACTTGGACATGCTGTTGGTACCAATCCATTCAAAATGCCGTAACAATCGTAATAGTGCGTAGTGGAGCAAGGCCCCACTTGATTCCCATCAAAGAAAATGGGAATCACAGAGTATTGGTACACAGATATGGAGAAGGCTTTGAGATGGTTTGGGGACTTGCGGCCTGTGAGACGGCTAGAGGCGTAGTTGAGCAAGGCCCCACTGTCTCCATATTTGATTCCCATCAAACAAAGTGGGAATCACCGAGTATTGGTACGCAGATATGGAGAAGGCTTTCGGATGGTTTGGGGACTTGCGGCCTGTGAGATGGCTAGGGAGTCGGGACGCCCCCCCATCCACCCCCCCCCACCTCCCCCCCGGCACCCTGCCCCTCCTGGAGTCCCCCTGCTGCGTGTGACAGGGTGCTGCCAGTAACCTTCCCACCCAGCAGGAGAACCCTTTAGGAAAGGCCATGGTTTGGGGGGAGGGACATACCACCGCACTCCCCCCCTTGGTTAGGCGGCTAGTGTCACAAGGGAAAGGCTGACCTTTCTCGGCCTTTTGGCTAAGATCAAGTGTAGTATCTGTTCTGATCAGTTTAATATCTGATCCGTGGTCCATCGGGCCACATAAAAAAAAAAAAA